AGTGAGATTTTGACCTTGGTAAAAAATAGAAGTGGGCAAATCCAAAGAATCAATACAATGTTATTCTAAAATAAAAGGCCTTAATTTTTAATTGACTGTACTTTAAGAGGGTCCCTAAAAATACAGCATCCTCCTATTTTAAAATCTGGCTCATTTTAATACAAAAAGGATAACTCTATCAAAATAGCTGAAACTGGCTAATCTTATGGGAGTTGGTGTCTTCAGTGCAAAACACTAAATAGTAGGGATATGAACTCATCTATAAACTTGTTAAGCAAATCAACAGTGTTATGTTAGTAACAGAAAGTACACATGATAATTTCATTTTGTCATAGCCAAGATAGCAACAGAAGGAAACAGGAGTGTGGCATCTCTAGAATTCTCAGCGGTCTTCAGGATTCTGTTACTATAATTCTAGCAAAATTCACTAACAGGTATATTTTATCAGAAAGTTTCTTAAAGAGAGCCCTCAGCTTCCTTATCTCAGTTACCTTCTACTAACCTTCCTCTTCAACCTGACAAAGAACAGATAAATGCCTACTCACACTGTCAGTTTGTCTACAGACATTACATGTGCATGCCTGAGAAGAGGCCAACACTGAAATGAAAGTCAGCTATCTGATGTAGAAACGGATGTCTGATTCTCTAGAGCTTGACTTTCCTCTACTAAAAATGGTTTGGTTCCATAAGCTTTATGGATTCATGTCTTTCAAAATATTCTCTAAATACCAATTTTAAAAGCTTTCATATACCAAGGATAAAGTGTACTAACTGCTTCAGGGAGTACAAAAACATACTAAGCAGAATTCTTGCCTTCAAGAAAACGATCTGTTTCCCTCCCTAGGACATAAACTCCAAGAAGGCATGGCCTTTTCCATCTTGTTTACCACTCCATCTCTAGCATCTATAATGGGACTTGGCAAACAGAAGGTGATCAAAATATTTGTCAACAAGTTGATAAACCAGTGAACATGGAAACAAAGCCAATATGCTTTGAACAATAAGAGACTATGCCATGTTCAACTGTATTCAATGTTCTAAGAGCAGCAGAAATTAAAAATATTAGGGTAGGCTGAGATAGTCTGAGAAGGCAGGGGGAAAATGGTAGTGGTGCCATCCTAGAAGGAAGGATTTAGATGAAGAAGAGGAGGGAAACAAGAATGGCAAAGACGAGAGATGAAGAGATCATATCTGTCAGAGGCAAGCGAGGGGGCCTGGGTGACCAAAAGAGGAGGCGGCAGCTAGATGAGATGTGGATACAAGGGCAGACTGCAGAAGGCCCAGGAAAATCAGCCACTGGATTCCACTTGGTCGGAACGTACCTTTCAAAAATCATTTTCCGCATCCCCATTTTAACCTCTAAAGGAAACTGAGTCTCAGAGGAGGTATAAATCTTTAAAAAGCAATAGGGCAATGCGACCAAAAACCAATCTTGGGGGCCTACATAAAGGTAAAGTTTGGGTTATAAAAAAAGTCTTAACATAAGTTCCATAGTTTACTAAAATTCATGGTTTATCAAAGAATAATAAAGGTCATAAACCTGAATTCACTAGCAACTTTCACACAAAGATACATACACTGTTAAGTGAAACTTACTTTCATCATCACAGCAGGGTAAATTTAATATATTTTTTAGTAATTCTCAACTAATATTAACCAGAGAATGACGCTATTCACTAATTCTGGAAGAACTAGAAATACATAGATGTCAAAAGCTCCAAATGGTTCTTTGTTAAACAGTCACAATTTTGAAGACAGCTTTAGATAAACCCAACAATTGAGATACTGTAAATATCCTTGCTCTTTCATCAATCTCTAGCTATATTTAGTAGCATGGTTTCCTTTGTTCAAGAATTATTTTTGATAACTGCATATTTATATTCTCCAAAGCAGAGTACTTTGGGCATATTTGTTAAGTGAATGGACGGCTGCATGGATGGACAACAAATAAACCAAATAACTGTATTAAGCTGAAAAGTAATGAATGTAATGCTTCATATAAGTGGATCTTAGATTCAGCCAGGGCTAAGGCTTCCAGACTTTCACCAACACGTCTTTCACATTTAGCTACAATCAGACTATGATTAAAACAGATAGAGGGAGCAGGAAAGTTTGGTAGCTAAGAGAAGAGTTACCCTAGGCAAGGATGGTGGTGCTTATGAGAGCAGAGGTGGATTGACTGTGAAGCTAATGAAGGTTCAGCGTCAGGGCCTCTTGCAAGGGCCCTTCCAAGGCCCTTGGAGAAGCCCTAGTAATGTGTTCACATGGTCATATATTTCTGTAAAATTTATCAAAGTAAGGTATAATAGAATTCATTCTTCTTAAGTGGGCCCTCAAAATAAGTTTCAGGCCCCACACAACCTGGGTCTGCCCCTGTGTAAGAGGTAGGAAGAGGTCAGTAGTAGGAGAAATGCTGATAGTTATGGAGAACATCATCGGAGTAGTGGGAACAGGAGCTTGGATGCCAATCAAATTTCTGGGCAGCTTTTTTTTTTTTTTTTTTTTTAAATATATATACCATTTCTTAGGCTCATAGTTCTCATATCATGACTCTCCTTTCAGCTTATACATCTTTGCAAATGAAGTCATAAGAGACATTCAGCTGTTACAAACTTTATGTCAAGCTTTGAAGTGCTTTTTAATAGCAGAAATATTTGGCTCACGTGTGGGCTTTATAGCTATGGTAAATACCTCTTAGTTATCTGTCGCTCCTGTTATTCCACACCTCCAATGTGGAGGAGAAATTCTGCATATGCATTGAGGTACTAAAAAAGAGTATTGAACTCTATCTTAGCGCTTTTGTGAATGGCTTCCTTTTATTTCTTCTCTTGTGGAACAAATACTTTCATCACATTGTACTGGTTATGGGTGGGAAGGCAGTGGATGGAGGGAGAATACTGACTATTACATCAGTGGCTGGCCGTTTCTCTTAGCTTCTTGACAGTTAAGTGATCAAGTTGCTCCTTAATATAAGATCAAGGCATTTCAAGGACTAACTCAATCTATCTATTCTCTAGAAAGTGCTTTGGTAGACTTTGAACAAAATGCTTGCAGGGTTCAAAAGAAAAGAAACTGACCGCAACTAGTATGAGATAAAGATGGGGGAAAAAACCCACCCTTATCTTGGAGGTTTCTATATGACTATTATTGTCACATAGTCTATATGTCCAGGTACATATCAGAACAATATATCTAGAAATAGCAGTTTTGAGAACAGAAAAATAGAAACAAAGGCCATGTATTAAGCATTTGGGATATGTCCTTTGTTGAACAATGACATTTTGCTTCTTTATGTAACTTAATTATTTTATGAAGAGATGACAGAAAATACTATTGCACTCCATAAGTTAAACACTTGACATTTTTATTCCTCAAAATGCAACATTTTAGAAGTCTAGATATGTTTATTAATTAGTGATTATTAACACCCAGTAAACAACATTATGTCTTGTAAAAACACAATCTCTCTTCACAGCATGAAGCTGAAATCTATTATTCCCTGATTCCATATGCTGAAATACACTCAGATGGTCACAAATGACCTTAAACATTAAATAAATGTAAATGAGGACAACACAGAAAATGCACTTTTGATTGATAACTAAAAGACCAGGTTGAAAATCATGTCCAAAAATGAAGTCCTCTCCAGAAGGATAAGGCCGTCTGCACTATGAAGGAAAGGCCGTCCTAACAACGGGGACCCCACAGGTAACGGCAGACCCTTTCTCTTTCTCTCAACCTACCCCAGGTTTTCTGGGAAACAGAAGTGGTTTGTTCATTTATATGAGAAACACAGAATATGCTGTCCCCTGTGCCACCAGCCTACTCCCAACATTTTAAGCAGGATTTAAAAATACATATATGGACACTTCATTACATTCACCAATTAATATAAGAGAAAAAAATTATTGCTATTCCATAGCCTCACACCAATATGTGTCGTCACTTTGGTTTTTAAGCATTGTAGCTATTTTCGTTTCTGAGGCCAGCACACCCAGACCACTGGCCGCCAGGGCTGTACTGTGGGTGTGTCCAAGAGAAATAAGTCTGTAGGCCTTGTCTGTTAATGAATAGTTTATATAACTAATAAAAAAAATCAAACTGGGAAGTTGGGGTGGGAAAGTGTCTTCACAATAGGGAAAATTCAAACTACCAAAGGATGACAGCTTCACAGTAATAAAGAAAACAGTTAATTTAACATGGAGTTATTCTAATAATGTCTGTGGTTAAATGAATGAGAAAAAATACACAAATACAGATATTTCATGTGAAAACTATGAAATGATTACTCGCTTCTCTAGATCCATTACCAACAGGGCAAAAATAAAATGTAGCATCATAGTACACACCATTGTTTTGGTTAAGAGCAAGCATTCCTCCTAGTTTGTATAAGAATTAACAGAACGTAAAAGGGAATGGACACCTAGACTATTTTAAAATCATGGAACAGAGCAGGGTTTCTCAATGTTGGCACTATTGACATTCTGGGCCAGATGTTTCTTTGTTGTATGGGGGCGTCCTATGCAACATAGGATGTTCAGTGGAATCCCTGGTCTCTACCACTAGATGCCAGTAGCAACACTCCCCGCTCTCCTACCAAGCCATGACAACAAAAAAAATGTCTCCAGGGAATGCCAAAGTCCCCTTGGGGACAAAACTGCTCCTAGGCTGAGACTCACTGGAAGAGAGCCATTTAAGGAGTTCCCAGGCCTGGCTTCTCCCAACCTCATACTGTCTAATCATAAATCATCCCCTACCCAGTGTTTAATATACTTATCTTGTTTTCTCATCTCTTAATTGGAGATAATGAGAGTGTTTGTCTGCCTCATAGTATTCTAGTGAGCATTAAATGAGATAATACTTGTAAAGTGCTTAAAACAGTGCCTGACACACAGTAAGTGCTCAATAAATGTTAGCTGTTATTATTTTTCATAACCATCCATAGTATCAAGAAAAACAATTTCAATCAGAGTTTTTTTTAATGCAGAAAGGTATCTTACCAGCTTGATATTTTCTGGGTCTTAAAAACACCAGCCTTCTGATTCCTTGTGATGATGTCTTGCACATCTACAGGACACAGTTAAGAAAATGTCTGCAGTGATCGTGAACTGACTGGAAAAAAAAAAAAAAAAAAAAAAAGGTCCAGAAACTCTTACCTCGCTCTGTTGCCCAGGCTGGAGTGGCATGATTTCGGCTCACTGCACCCTCTACCTCCTGGGTTCAAGTGATCCTCCCACCTCAGCCTCCCTAGTAGCTGGAACTACAGGCATGAGCCACCACACCCAGCTACTTTTTCTATTTTTAGAGAGATGGGGCTTCACCATGTTGGCCAGGCTGGTCTCAAACTCCTCTCCTCAGGTAATCCACCTGTCTCAGCTTCCCAAAATACTGGGATTGCAAGCGTGAGCTACTGCGCCTGGCCGATCTTTTTATCATGCATGGGATGAGTACTGTGAAAGGAGAAGAGCTGCATGTGGGGTGGGAAGCAGGATGCTGACTTGCCACAGGCAAGCTCTTTCGCTTCCCTGGGCTGCATGTTATCACCTGAGATGGATCATCATGGCAAGCCCCAGAGTTATGAGTGCTGATGGGAAATGACTGTCCCATAGGTGCCATGTCCTACTTGCTTAAAAGGGCAAGGAGTCCAAAGGCAAGCCTCTCTGTCAGCAGGGAGGGCAATGTCAGTCTCCAGAGACTTTCCAGTGTGAAGTATTTCCAATCTCCTAAATGCTACTAGGGAGGGGTGGAGAGGAGCAGCAGGATGAGACTTGGGAGGAAGTGAGTAGAAAAAGATGGAGAAAATCTTGGAGAATCTTTGAGAGAAAATGAATTACTGAAGAAAGTCAGTTCAGTGAAAAGTCCCCTGAAGAACTGTCTTTACAGACTTACGCTATGGCCTTTGGCATGGAAAGACTTGTACAAAAGAGCCATATTTATGGAAGACATGTTTTCAGGAGCTGGTTCATTACATCACCCAGCGCCATATTTACAAGAGCCCATCGGAAAAAATTGTCAGGTTTCAGCACCCGGAAAAGCTGGTCTGCAGATCAAGGGATGTTGCTTCCACTTCCCCGCATGATAACTCTTAGAGTTGATCCTCTCTTTCTCTTTGCTCCAGCACCTGTGCAACTCAGAGCCAAATGTGTGGCCTAACTCTAACAACCACAAGAGACCCTGTTGCATATACTTTCTCTACTGACCTCTATTCCTGGCTTCATCATATTTTCCTGGCTTTCCAATTTCCAACTGCCCTCACTTTCCTATTCATTTTATATGGTATATTCTATGTGTCATGGTAACAAGCCTCAAAATCCCTCTTTTGGAATAGGGCAGGTTTAAATAGTCAAGAAATAAAATAATTCCAGTGAAGGCTACAAGCTGAACTAAATTGGGTCCATGGGGAGGACACCAAGCAGACAAGTGATGTTCTCCTATTGCTCAGAAAAACAGGTTTCCTACATGCTCAAAGCAAGCATTGACCAAGATCTCCCTGCAAAAACAGAGCCACAGGACTTTTTAACCCAAATCTCTGCTTGAACCACCAGGCACACCCATTTCTTCTCTGAGTGAATAAGCAGGTACTGTGATAGCTTTCTTCCCCCAGGGGTGGGTAGGAAAAATCAATTAGGTCTCCTAATGAAGGGCTTTGTTGAGGTTTACAAAAGTGCTATAATGCAGACTTTTTTTTTTTTTCCTGGGTGAACTTTCCTGTATGCAAATTAAATACCGTTAAATTACATTCATTAAAAAAATAAAAGAGACTAATTTGCCTACTTGTTTTGATTAACTAAAATGACACATCGGCCTACAGTTCTGTCTATTTCAGGAAGAAAGTATTTCAGGAAAGTCTTCTAAATGAAATGTCTTGCAGAAAAGGACAGCTGACATCTTTATTCTGAGAAGAACAAAATTAGTAAAGAGTCAGCTGACAACTGTTTTTGATTAAGTTCCCCCACACTCTGGCCACACCCTCCTTAGAGTTTCCATGGCATCCAACCGCATGCCATAATGTGCCCGGTACACCTGTAGAGTCGTATGAGTACATGACTAATCTATCAAGCAAAACATATTATTTTGTTAGTGGAGGTAATACTTTTTATAAAATAGTCTCAGGGAAGTTAAATTATATAACTCAGAAAACCTATTAATAATTTTTAGTAAACATCTTAACACTATATACTTTTATACAATTTATAAACCTGTGACTCCAGGTGGTCAGGCTGAAGCAAACATATGTATTTATATTCTAGAAGCAATTTTTTAAATAAAAAAAAATCCACAGCAGTATTTAGGCTGCTTTATTTTTAGAACTGGACAGGAAATATGTTTTGTGGTTTAAGAGGTTTTTTTAAATATTAAAATGAGCATGAGAAGAAAAAATGTCAACAGTATTTTAAAATATTACCTTAAGAGATAAACTCAGATCTCCTGCTCCCCACCCTTTACTTTAGGTCAGATTTTGATGGTTCTTCTGGATGGCACTGTGTCCAATAATAGATTTTATCATTCTTCTGTGTCACCTCAGGGTAATAAAGGAAATCCCATCACATTGAGTCAATATGTCCAGGATAGTGTTCAACACAACAGGCCAAATCATGTTCTCTGAACCGCACCCACCTTCTGGAGCACTTCAGTGGGAGGGACTGGGTGCAAAGAAAGCCTCAATGTGATTTCTGATTAAATGAATACAGAGTAGTTGCCTCCAATCCCCTTGTCTAGGCAACTGGACTTCCAGAGCTACAGGATATATGTTTGTGGCTAAAAGGAAACCGGAATTCTATCTCTAGGTTTTCTTCTCAAATAAAGCCCTGTTCAGAGGTAGGGCTCCATTTCAATTTTGTTTCAGTTGATTTTTATTCTTAAAAAATAGTTTTATATAATAGTAATTTAAATAAATTATATACATGTTATATGTATGTATCATATTGTTAAAAATATCAGCCTCCTCCTGCAATTAGCAATTATTTACCAGTAGTTATATATACATTTTGAGAGTTGTCATGTTCTTTAAGCAAGAAAATATTTTAAAAATAATAACACTGTGATTCATAAAGCACCACTTTCTTGGTTTATGTTATCTTTATTTTCGTTGGAATACCAAAAAACCAAAAATGAGGGTAGGAAACTATGAGATTATAATATAAACCCTATTCATTTTGATCTCTCAAGGTTTTTCTTTTTAATGCTTAATGTGGCAATATTTGCTAATTTAAGGCTGCAAAATATTCTTAAATGTGCTTATTACTCACATGAATTGAGAAGATGCCATAGAGGTACTATAAACTCTGTTAGCAATGCCAATTGTTATGTTTATGGATGAGAGGCCTTTATTTCCAGAGTATGGTAAGAAAATGCAAGATGAGGTTCACCAAATCATTTTAGCTTTTGGTGACCCGGAATGGTTTAAGTGGAAAAAACATAAGCTTTGAAGTCAAATGAACCTGGCTTCTAGTGCTAGTTCTGATACTCGGTGGCTGTGTGTCCTTGGGTAAATTAATCTCTCTGAGCTCCATCTCTAAAACAGAAATAATGATACCTATTTGTTAGGCTTAATGGAGTATCACATATGATAGGCCTGGCACATAGTAGGTGCCCAATTCATGTCAATTCATTACCTTAGTGTATAATTTAGGCAAAAGCTTTGGTAGGATGAAGAGGCTGGTAAAGTAACTAACATGAGGTTTGGCAGTTACACTTTATTTTCTTTCCCTGCTGCTTAGAATTAATTACCTTAACCGGGCACAGTGGCTCATGCCTGTTGAGCCCAGAAGTTCAAGACTGCCTGAGACCCCATTCTCCACAAAAAGGAGAAAAAAGAAAAAAAAAGTTAGAATTAATTATGTGAACATTTATACTGTAGAATTTAAATAACCAAAGTTATCAAAGGACTTCTGCCCTTCATGTGTATAAATGTATTCTAGCCAAGGATAGGTACTAGACCTATCTTGTTCACTATTGTATCTTTAGCACCTGTAATGACATGCCATTAATATTGGTTGAATTAATTTTAATTTAATTCCAAAAATAGATATGTTGAGTTGCTACCCAATGTGAGGCACATAGAGTTTACTTATGACTCATCAGTAGATGGAAGTACAGCCGGCATTGGAAGAAGAAGCCTGGACACAGGAAGATGGCCCGGGATTTCCACGTTGTCAACCATCTATAGTACAGGCTGCACAGTCCACACGAAGCTTCACTCATTAGTTACTCAAGTCAGGGATTCTATTAAATAAAAATAATGTTAAACCAGCGGTGTCTCCTTTAAAAAGCACAGGAGATTTACCCATTTTTGGAGAATCCTAAGTTCAAGATCTGTGACCCACACTGTGCATACTATGGGGATAAGATGCTTACAGAGAAATGGGTCACCAAACATTGGAATCTTCTGCATAGAACTGCCAGATGTTTATTAAGGCAGGGCGCCTGTGCTGGGCACATTAGTGACTGTAGCCAGAGAGGGATGCTCACCTTCAGGAGTTCTACTTTTATTCATCATAATTTAGAAGAGGCTTAGTATCAATAATAGCTCAGTATACCATGTGTCTCTCCTATTCCTAGGTCATTGTTATCACAAGCTACAAACCTTATGGAGTAATTATTATATGTGGGCTGTTGAAGATTTCTTTCTTGACACTAAGGGGGCATTACCAAAAAAAAAAAAAAAGAAAGAAAAAGAAAAGGAACACGTTTCACACTATTTTGGAATAAATTTCACAACTGGACAAACGAAATGATCCCGTTTCTAATTTATCCTTTGTTCTCTTGGGGTACAGAGAAAATGGAATCTGTAGGGAAGAGCAGCTCTCAGGTGTGGGGGCTTTGGGTTCATAGACCCAGCAATGCAGTTTAAGGAGACCAAGGAGACCTTAGGGAAAACTGCCCATGAATCTAAGAAAATATTTGTGACTTAAAAAATTCATTTTTACCTCAAGTCTTAATATCTTTCCAGACATCTCTGTTTCATAAATCTCAGATCAATATCTAGCTTTTCAGAATCAAGATGGAAAACTCAAGAAGACATAGGCAATCCATTTGATATATTTTAGGGAAATAATAAATAACCTCAAAACTGGTTGACATGCTTCTGTGATATAAAGATTCAGAACCAATCCATTCATTGCCTCACATACTAAAACAAATAGAAATAATATAAAATTAAAAGGAAATATCACGAAATGCTATTTTGAAGAGGTAAAAATCAGAATCTTAGAAGCTTAAGAGACTGAGAAGATTCAGTTGGATTCATTAAATACAGAAGCCAAGAACAAACAAAAACAATTTTTAAAATGATAAGAATAATATACAGGCCAATACTCAGATGTGATATGCCATTGCCAGGTCGATTTTCAATTACATTTCACTGATGTATTCATTTGTTTCTTAATGTGCTCATCTTGCCCATTAAGAATAATTAGCAGCTTTACTAAGAGATTTTCTGGCTTCTGGCAATGTTTCTCCCCCTTTTTTTGTTGACATCCACTTTTACTTTTTAGAAAGTAATTTTTGAATAATATCCTACAACTGCCATATAATTTAGGCTTCCTAAAATTTTAAAGGAAAGATGTAAACAGTAATTTTTAAATAAGTTTGTTTCAATCTATATGCATCAATAGTATGTGATTCAGTGAATTAGTTATTCTTACAGAAAGTGGGCACGCAAATAGAAAAAAAAAATCATTCATATTAACCTCAGTCAGTGAAACAGATGACAACGAATACCAATTGTAAGCTCTGTTAGCAAATCAAGAATAGCATTAGTATTAAAAGCAGGAAAAACACATTGCCAATTTTAAGGCTTTATGCATGCTTTTTCTCTTAATTAAAAAAAATTAGATCTAGTTACAACAGAAAAAGGCACACAAACATAGTGTTCTATGTTCTAACAACTGCATGGTAAAAACTGAACTCCATCAGGAAAGTCCTAAGAGATGAAATAAAACACACTACCAATTTTGGTCTGCATCCTGAAAAGACCTACTTTATCTACTTTGTAAAGTTCTTCCCCTCCTGCCCTTTGGCACCCCGCTATATTAGACCCATTGTAAAACCCAGCACAATAAAGCAGTCTCAGGGCTGAGCTTCTGAGGACCAAATGTTAAAAATCCATTTTCTTGGGAGGGGGCTGTACCAGTCATTTCTTTGAAAGGCTGGCAGAATGAATACAGAATCTGAGATTTCCTCTCTGATTTCAAAAGCTGGCATGGCATCTTTGTTGTTTAAAGCAAAGGTGTGTTAATTAATGACATTAGCATTGCTTCCTTTCTTTGGAAGCTCTGTAGTTTAGCTCAATAATAATTTTAGAACAAATAGATTTACATACTGACTACAGATGTTTCCCATAGTTTGATAAAAGTTCTAATTGGTTTCTGATGCTATTAAATAAGACACCTGCTGACTTGAAAAAAACCTTAGGTTACTGGGCCCAAGCTGAAAGTTTCTGTGGCTAAAATAATCTTCTCTTGTCCAATAATCCTGCTCCCCCCAACCCTCTAAAAATGCGCTGGGGCTGAGCTGGCATACCTGAGCTTCCTCTTGCTCTGTATTCCCTGACATAAGGAGGAGGAGCACAGTGAAATGATACATGGATACGTGCATGAAATAACTCAGAATAAAGCAGAGTGAATGAAACAACATCCGCTCATCTTCAGGAATATTTTGAAAAACTTGAGACAGTCTCAAGAACGTGATTAAAATCCTGCATTTTAAAAAAGGAAGCACCTTTTGTGATCTCTTTCCCTTGTGTGAAAGGCCAAGATTGTGATTGGCTGTTTTTCCTTCCTGAATTTTTTTTAAGTCTGTCAGACAATTAGCTGGGTGGGGCTCGGTAGAGCATACAAGTGTTACTGAACAATATTAGCTACTGTGCTTCTCGTACCTCCTTTCTCCTGTTTGAGCAGCTTGATGAAGCTGCTGCATATTTTCAAAAAATCATATGGCAGAAGTCGAAAAAGAAAATCCGAAATAGATTGTATGTAAGATGCCACAGAAATCAAAATTGCTTTGGCAGTTTAGGAGCTTAAAATTCAAATCAGTAGATTGTCTCCCTCATAATGTAAATGTAAGGCACACCAAAAAAAAAAAAAAAAAAAAAAAAAATCCAAAGCAAACATATCTTCCACTTTTCCTCTCAGTTTCTAACGGCTGTTAACTGCCCCTGAACAAATCAGCTCGACTGCTAAAGTAGCCACAAATTATGCTTACTTTCTTAAAGTACAGTTCAATTTTCATGAACTCTGTGTACATATTAGCAAAGCATAATCTAATGGAGTTTGAACTGTAATAGCATAGCAGAAAAACAGAGATAGCATGTATAATCCGAAATAAAGTCCTAAATAAAAGGAAATAATGAAGAACTGACAGCTGTTTCCAGTGGGGGATATAGGTAACCCCTCAGCAATTAGAGCAGGCACAATATTACACAGTACATACAATATCAAGTGCATAAAGGTAATAACAAACATGAAGCTGGAAGTTAATATTTGCCAGCAATATCCAAATACAATAAATACCAAATAATTTATTTTACACTGGCAAATTCCAATGGAAATAAAAGAACAAGAATGCCTGGAAATTATGAAACAATTTTTCTTCTTGCCTCGGGAGGTCCACAAAACATAGGCCCCTTTAATGAGAGATGTCTATAAAAATCCATGGAAAGAAAAAAACCCACGGAGTCGTATGCAAGGAATTCATATATTTCTACTTTTTCTTAATTACTTATCATGTATGTGGGGGAGGAAGCTCTCTTTTAATACCCCATGCTGTCTTTCTTTATATCAATTGTTACTCAGCCGGGAAAAAGGAATGAGCACAACAAACCCGTTTTCTATCTGAATAAGGATACTTCTGATGGCCTTTTCATTCCCATCAGTTAACAGAACTTCTTTGACATCTGCAGAAATAGCAACCTGAAAAAAAAAAAGGGAGCACAGCAAACAATGAGCAAATATGCTTGTCTGTGTGGAAGTGAAGACAGGAGTGACAAGCCTTCAGTATCATGCTTCCTCACCTATTTCTCTGTAACAATCTTCAATCTTTTTTCATTTTATGTCTGCATTATTTTAATCATTCAATCAAATCAGTCAATACTTTTATCATTCCATTTGCGGGAGCCTCTATCTTGCTATCATTCTGTTCGGTAATTGCATTGTGACAGCGGATGATGGTATTCTGAGAGGCTTTCATTTGTGGGCTTCTGTTTATCTAGTAGAGCCATCATACAAGGCTGTCACTCTGCCTTTCAGCTTGCTTCTGTCTGACTGCCTGATGCCCTTCATATAACTTTGCATTGCAGGCAGATGGCTTTGTGAGGGTAATTTTTTTGTGAGCTTTGACATGCTCGCACATTGGGCTGTAACCTCGACACATTGTATAAGAGCGACAGGTTTGTCAAATGCCAATCAGTGTAACAATATGCTTTTATTTGTAGAGACATAAAAACTTGTCTAATGCACTGTGCTGCTACATAATATCTCCTGAATACATGACTCAGAACCCAGAGAATGGGGAACGACGTTCCTGAATGGCCAATCTAATTCAAAAGAATCTAATTACTGAGCGCTCTGGATCATGTTTGTTGGTGTAATAATGCAGGCAAAACATTAGCAGCTATATCATGGTGCTCCAACTGTGATTCGCCGGGCTATTCCTGTATCTTAGCAAATGGGACTATAATCTGAAAAAAAAAAAAAAAAAATGCTTTCGCTATGGCAAAGAAAGACTGTGCGAGGCCTGGAATGTCACAACAAGCAATATTGACTACACTGAGGTAAAATGTTTCTGCTCATCGAGGCAACCATAAAATCAATATGATCCGAAAGTAAGTCAATCTAGAAGGTCTCTCAAGACCCGGCAGCTTGACCGCAGCTGATGCTGTTGACGGTTCTCTGACCCAGCAGTTGGAGGCCCTGGAACATTTTTCCTTTTGTTCCTCCCTCTGAATGGGATTGGAATGGAGAAAAGACCTACCATGAGCCCAGCCAAGCATGTCATGCCACCCCCTAGCTCACACACAGCAAGGGCCCTGAAAGAGAGAAAAGAAATGGTAGAACCCATACAAATTAGATGAAAATGGTCAGAGAGAGATATATGTTACAAGAACAAATTGCCATCTGCAGTAAGAACGGCGCTACCAGGAAGTTGTAGAGACATGACTAGGCTACCTCATGTCGTTTTGCGTTTTAAAAATAATTATGAAATAGAAAAGTCACAAAGCAGGCAAATCAGTGGGGGTTCCCTCATTAGTGTTCACTGCAACATTACCACCGCTGAGCTGAAAAATCTGAGAAGGTTCCCTTTTTTTCCCTTGTCAATGGCGCTGTCTTTTAGAACTAAACTAGCTAGAGTAGCGAAAGATAATTGTTAGGAAAGGATAACACTGTTAATCCACATTCATTCCTTCAAAAACAGTTAGACAAGTAAATGAAGAATATATGTGAGTGTGTATATACCTATATTATAGACACATACACACAACACACACAAAATAAATAGATGCACTCCTGAATTTAAAAAAAAAAATTCTAAAACAAACTGAAACATTTTGGAAAGCTGAACAGTCTCCATAAAGAACAATTACACAAAGAGTATTTAGCAATTAACACTTAAATTACAATTGACCCCAACACAACACAGTGAATAAACAATGCAGGGACATAATATGGTTAAGCCAGCAAACCCAGGCTAAAGTAATGACTGGGCTCTGACTTCACAGCTCAAAAGTAGAGCAGCTCAGAGTTAAAGCTGACAGTCTAGGGGGGCACTCTGCACTTACCTTCCCCTTTGTGCCTAAATATCAGCCCTCAACGTGTGACATTCTCACCCTGGCCCACTGCTCGCTGATTGGAGCTCCAGTCAAGCTTAAGCACAGCGAGATGAGCATACGCCAGACTTCCAGGGCAGCTCTGCAGCCCACATTCAAAATTGCCCTGTTCTTATTTATATGCTTAGACTCTTAGGACTGTTTCCTCTTCCCAGTTTGGGAAGTTTATTACCTCAAGAGGAGAAAAACAGCAAAATTAAAAGGGAGGGAGAGGTGGGAAGAGGGGGAAAGGGAGGAGAAGGAGCCAAGCAAGGACATTAATATTTCAAAACACACTTAATGAGTGTTTGGTTGTTCAAAGCAATTATAGACTGGTTGGTAAATATGGACCCACAGAGCTTAAAAAAATACATATTACTGACCCAATCTTGTAAGTACATACTGTTAAAACACACGCTATGATCACTAGTGACTTATCTGGAATAATAATGGGCTATTCAGGAAGTATATATTGAATGACTTCTATAAAATGATAATTAAAATGAAAAACCTATATTTTCTGGGTCTACCAAACATCTTCAGAATTTTCAAATGATTTTTTTTTCCTGAATTCCATCCATGGGTTTGATCTGTAATGCACACTAACAGTTGAAAACACTTATTTCTGTAGCATGAATCCATAATGCTAATTTGTAGTTCACAAATACATATTGTTAGATATATAAAAATACTTTTAAAACCAGGGGTGGGATGGCATCTTTAAATAATAGCTGTGAGGTATTTATTTATCAGACATTCTGTAGTGACTTCCCTGGCAGAAGTTTAAAGAATGTCTTTGGTTGTATTTTTTTTTTTTTTTGACCTTCACAATCAGTAAGGATTGATTGGAGCTTCACTTTTGTTTCCCCCAAATCAAAGTGAAATAAAATGCCTTGAGTGGAAATCAAAAGCCTTTGACATACAGCAAAAATCTTGCTGTGCAATATTAGTACCCAAGGCGATTCAGATTTCATTTGAGAAGCAACATGTGTTCACTGTGAACTTTTCCCCCTTTCTTTCTGTTTTCCTTTTCTTCCCTTCTGTTTTCCTTTTTTCTTTTTCTTATTTTTTTCTAACAATTTAATTTGAAGAATGTAATCACGGCAATTTTTAATATGTTGATTCAATATCCGTGATGGGCTAAAAAATATCTTAAGTGCAGCTCTGTACCTGAATATATTACTGTGCTTGAGGCAGTAGTAAGCCAACACCTCTTCGGATGGCCAGATACCTAGAAAACACAAGAGGATAAACCTTTTCATTACAGAAGGTATTCTTTTAAGAAATGGCTTTTAAAAATAATGTTCAGTACAAGCTATTTCAACTTGAATCAAACAACATAGTTATTACAATAATGTCATGAGTGTCTTTTATTGTTGTTATTTTTATAGTGGTGAGATTTATAACTCTTTCCCCCAGGATAATAGAAAAATATCCTAAATAAATTATACTAAATTTTGATCACAAGACAGCCAAAGCAGTAACAACCAAAATCACAAATATCAAAAGTTAAATTTTGATGGTACTTCAAATAGATTTTCATCTTGTGCACATAAAATTAATTGGTATCAGTTGAAAACTTACTTATATATGCAGCCCATATTAGGCAAAAATAAATGGTACAATCACACACAGGAGCAAATAAAACCACTGAAGTCACTATATTTCTTTGTTTGATTCCATGCTAATATTTTTAAACATGCACAATTCTGTCTTTTCTTTTTTTTTTTTTTTTTGAGACAGAGTCTTGCTCTATCATCAGGCTGGAGTGCAATGGCAAGATCTCGGCTCACTGTAACCTCCGCCTCCCGGATTCAAGCAATTCTCCTTCCTCAGCCTCCTGAGTAGCTGAGATTACGGGTGCATGCCACTAGGCCCTGCTAATTTTTGTATTTTCAGTAGAGACTGGGTTTCACCATGTTGGTCAGGCTGGTCTCGAACTCCTGACCTCATGATCTGTCCACCTTGACCTCCCAAAGTGCTGGGATTACAGGTGTGAGCTACCACGCCTGGCCACAATTATGTCTTTCTTCAGTTAAATAAAATCAAACTGGAGTATAAGATTAAGAAATTTTAATTTCACCAACTTTGGTACATCTTTAAATTTAGCAATAATTCTACCTGCTAAATTGCATGGATGGACATTTTCTAAAATTAGCATCCATAAATCACTGATTTCAAATACTTAGTCTTCATGAATGGATATGAATTGCTTAAAGAGAAGACAAACGTGCTTGGAAATTATAGTTTCTAGTTGTTATCACAGGATGGTAGGATTATAAGTGTTTTTAATTTTTTTCTTTATGCCTTTTTGTATCTTCCAAAATTTTACAATGAGCATATATTACCCTTATACTTAGAATAAATTGTAACCTTATAAAAATTATGTTTTCCCCCAATTAATCAGACCCAAAGATCAGGCAGAGCACCAGGCATCTTGCACTTCCTGAGGCTGAGAGCACCATGCAGTCCTGGGCACAGGTAGCAAATGTTCTCTGACTCAGCACCAAGCACTCTGCTGATGGCTCTTAATGCAAGATTGAAACATCTAAAAAAGGCTTAATTCTTTCCCCCTAGATGATCCTCCAACTTTGAGGAGTAAGAAATCCAAACGTTTCAGAGAAGAGGACATCAAAGAAATGTTAAGTAAACTCCTAAGAAATTCAGGGGGTAAATATATAAACAGCAAAGAGGTGTCTCCATAGAGCATTTGTTGCGGGAAAGCCCAGTCAGGTGTACACACTACCTCAGCCTCTCCGGCATTTCTGGTAGGAATGACAGCTTGGGGGAGAAACAAGGAAAACCCCCAAGAAGTGTTTGGAGTCATATTTAGGAGGAAAGTCAGAGAGGCAGTGGAGTGTGGCAGTTTAGATCACAGATATTTTGGAACCAGACTTATTGGGCTCCAGTGCCAGCTCTGCCATTCCCTTGTGGAGTGACCTTGGACAGGTTACTTACCCTCTCTATCCCTCACGCTCCTCATTTGTAAAATATCACTGCAGTATTGTCAACCTCACAGGATTGGCCTGAGAGTTAGAGGAGTAAAATACATGCCTATGTTTAGAATGGTTCCTAACACATAATAACTCAAAGAAAAAGAAAGCTGTTGTTAATGTTATTCTCCAGCAAAGAGGGATGGAAGAGTGGAAGAGAGAATATGTGAATCCAAAATGGTTATCCCAATAACCAGAAAGATGGAAAACCATTTTGACCTGTTCCTATTATTGGAACCCCAAATCCTAATACCTGTCATATCTCCACATAAAAATAACTCTATAAAGACCAAAGTATAAATAAAAGTCTCTGAAGGAAGAGCATAAGACAATGCTCTACACCAAGTGAATATAATCACTACTATAGTGAATTTCTTTATGCGTTTAGCTTGAGGTTTAAAAAGAAATGATAGGGAAAGAGTATCTAACTAAAATTTAAGCCTTGATTAAGTACAAAAATGTAACTTATAAAATGCAGTCTTTTGTAATAGTTTTATAATTGTCTCAAAAAATTATAGAGGCTGATTTTCAACAAAATTAAATACAAAGAACAAAGTAAAAAAAATCATGTAAAATTTGACCACTAGGATATAATCACTGTTAACATTTTGGACATCATCTCAAAAGATCTTTCTAGGGAAACAGGTATTTTACACCAGTGGGATCTTTTCATGAAGATATTCAATAACCTGATTTTCCCTCATTCAATATGTGGTAGATAGCTTTACATGAAAATAAAAATATACTTTACCTGCATCATCATTTATAATGATTGCTTAGATATCCTATGTGTGCATCAGAATTCATTTAACCAGTTTTCTCTTGATAGATATTTAAGTTAGTTTCAAAGTTGTTGATATAATGAGATTATTGTGTTGGTGCAAAAGTAATTGTGGTTTTTGCCATTAACATCAACAGTAGAACAATATGACAATACATGTTTTCCCAACATATGGTTTTCTCCTTAGGTCAAATACTAGGAAATGGGATATCTGGTCAGAGGTTACATATATTTCACATTTTAATATATCAAACTGACCTCCATAAAATGTGTACCAAGTTACACTCCTAATCAGAGTGTTTGTTTCCTCAAAGTCTTGCCCAGATAGGGTTTTTTTCAACATACTAATTTTTGCTAATCTAAGTTTTTAAAAGTTATCTCAGTGAAAATCAACACCTAAATGAGATACCACTTCACACCCACTAGGATGGCTACAATCTAATAGTCAGATTATAACGAATGTTGGGTTGGTGAGGATGTGGAGAAATTGGAACCCTCATGTGCTGCTTGTGGGAATGTAAAATTATGTAGCCACTTTGGAAAATAGTCTAGCAGTTCCTTAAAAGGTTAAATGTAGATTATAATATGACCCAGCAAATCCACTGCTACACAAGAGAAATCAAAATGTGTCCAACAAAAACTTGTACACAAATGCTCATAGCTGCATTGTTCTTAATAGCCCAAAAGTGGAAACAACCCAAATGTCCATCAACTGATGAATGGATAAATCAAATGTGGTACGTCCATACAATGGATTATTATTTGATAATAAAAGAAGAACTGATACATGCTACAACATAGATGGAACTTGAAAACATCATACAGGCAATACCCCATTTTATTGCAGCTTTCTTTATTCTGCTTTGTAGATGCCACATATCTACAGTTTTACAAATTGAAGGTTTGTGGCAGCCCTGCACTGAGCAAGTTCACTGGTGCCATTTTGCCAACAGCATGTGCTCAATTAGTGTCTCTGTGACAGATTTCAGTCATTCTCACAATATCTCAAAATTTTTCATTATTATTATATCTGTTATGGTGATCTGTGATCAATGACCTTTGATGTTACTATGGTAATTGCTTTGGGGCGGCATGAACTGCATCCATATAAGACAGCTAGCAAACTTAATCAATAAATCTTGTGTGTGTTCTGACTGCTCCACCAGTTGGCATTCTCTCATCTCTCTCCCTCTTCCCAGGCCTCCCTATTATTAGGCTAATTAATAAACCTACAATGGTCTCTAAGTGTTCAAGTGAAAGGAATAGTTGCATGTCTCTCACTTTAAATCAAAAGCTAGAAATGATTCCACTTAATGGAGAAGGCATGTTAAAAGCTGAGATAGGCTGAAAGCTAGGCCTCTTGCACTAAACAGACAAGTTGTGAACGTAAAAGAAAAGTTCTTGAAGGAAGTTAAAAGTGTTACTCTAGTGAACACATGAATGATAAGAAGGTGAAACAGCCTTATTGCTGATATGGAGAAAGTTTAAGTGGTCTGGATAGCAGATCAAACTAGCCACAACATTCCCTTAAGCCAAAGCCCAATCCAGGGCAAGGCCCTAATTCTTCAATTCTATGAAGGCTGAAGGTGAGGAATCTGCAGAAGAAAAGTTTGAAGGTAGTGGAGGTTGGTTCAAGATGTTTAAAGAAGCCATTTCTGTAACATAAAAGTGCAAGGCAAAGCAGTAAGTGCTGATGTAGAAGCTGTAGCAAGTTATCCAGAAGATGTAGCTAAGATCACTGATAAAGGTGACTACACTAAACAACAGATTTTCAATGCAGACAAACATTGGAAGCCTTCCATTGGAAGAAGATGCCATCTAGGACCTTGGTAGCTAGAGAGAATTCACTGTCTGGCTTCAAAGATCCAAAGGACAGGCTGACTCTCTTGTTAGGGGCTAGTGTGGCTGGTGACTAAGTTGATGCCAATGCTCATTCACCATTCTGAAAATCATAGCACCCTTAAGAATTATGCTAAATCTAACCAGGCTCAGTGGCAGGTGCCTATTGGGCTACTCAGGAGGGGAAGGAAGGAGGATTGCTTGAGTAAGCCCAGGAGTTCGAGGCTGTAGTGGGCTATGATTGAATATGTGAATAGCCACTGCACTCCACCCTGGACAACATAGTGAGACCCTGTCTCTTAAAAAAAAAAGAAGAAGAAGAAGAGAAAAGGAATTATGCTAAATCTACTCTGCTTGTGCTCTATAAATAGAACAATAAAGCCTGGATGATAGTACATCTGTTTATAGCATGGTATACTGAACATTCTAAGCTCACTGCTAAGACCTACTGCGCAGAAAAAAGCAATTTCCTTCAAAATATTATATACTGCTCACTGACAATGCACCTGGTCACCAAAGGGCTCTGATGGAGATATACAAGGAGATGAATGTTGTTTCCATGCCTGCTAACACAGCATCCATTCTGTAGTCCCTGGATCAAGGAGTAGTTTTGACTTT